ACTTCAAGGTTAATCTGCTCCCAACGTTCGGTGCAGGACAGCCTCTCGAGGTTCCAGCTCAACGTCCACCTGTTGAGGTTCTTGTACTTCACCTCCCTCATTTCCTAGGAGTTTGCGTATCTTTGGGACCTCAACAATGCTTGAATCTTGACATAGCTGAAAACCCAACCTCTCGACGATCTCCTTGTCGAAACTGTTGATCTTCTCGAGACCCCTCACATTGTAGACCGCAAGGACTAAACGATCTCCACTCCATTGTCTTGTGGCATGCCATCTTCTGGGATCAAACGTGACCACTTGTTTATTCCCCTCCTCGGACTGAAAACCCTTCACAAGTCCTCTATCTCCATCTAGGATAACCACGTCCTCTTCCTTGGCTTCTTCACCGGTCTTGAGCTGAACCCACAAACCGCCATCCTTGAAGTCGCTGATGGGGATCAAATAAGAGGCCTTGTCTCTTGCGTTGTGTGAGTCACGATGCTTCTTCACATTCAAGTTCCGATGCATTGAGAATGTAGACCAGCAAGCATGATCTCCGAGCTTCTCCTGGATGAACAAGTTCACAACCTTGGTGGCCAGCGGATAGTCCTTTGTCGAGTTTCTAACTCCCAGTACTCCCCCATGACGGTACACTCCAGACGCCCATGCCTTCGGCGGCGACCCTGCATATGCACACTCATCGGTTTTTCTGGAGATTCTCTGGTCCGGTAATAACTCGAACAAGTGTTCCACCACTGACTCGTCAACCTTCAGGCCCTGGTTGAGAACTAATTGCGCATAAACTTCAGGATCACAAATCTTCTCCTGGTCACCACGTGGATTATCTTCGTCACGTTCATGATCTGGATTGTGTTCAAGAACTGCTACACGAGGACTCCGAATTTCACGATCACCTTGAGCTTCCCCAATCCCTTGACTTTGAACGCAGATATCCTCCTCATCACTCGGTAAATCATCGTCATAATGTTCCAACACGAGTTTCCCATCACGAACTGCAACACGTGGAGCAAGGACAACCCTTTCCTCTTCCCCGTCATTGGATGAATCCCTACAGTCTGGACTGCGTCTTCGACCTTTGGGATCATTCACTTGGTGCTCTAGGTCTGGACTGCGTCCTCGACCTTTGAGACCACCCACATGGTGCTCTAGGTCTGGACCGCGTCCTCGACCACCTGAGCCACCCATGTCATCTGGGTTGCCTCCAATAGCGGCAAAACGAGGAGCTGACTTACCGTGGATTCTCAATCTTCTTGCTGGTGGATCTTGATCGTCCTCAAGAACCGGCATCTCTTGATCTTCATCTGGTTGATGTTCCTTGGCATCGACTAGCTTCGCCTTATCTCTGACGCTTCTCGTATGAGTGAACGTGCCGTCGACATACACCAAGTGTCCATCAGCAACCTGATCAGAAAGACCCAAATACAGTCCCTTCGACCATCGCTCCTCGAACTCTAACCGGATCAGAGCTCCAGAGGCCGCGTATCTTCGCTTCTTCACTAGCACCTTTGATCCAA